ATACTTGCTAAATTCACAATGTAGTGTTCTATTGGCATTTCCTTTATGAAATAATAGAGGCCTGGTGCACGAATTTGTGCATGGGTGGGGTCCCTCGGGCTGGCTGGTGATCGGGGTGATTAGGGCCATCAGGGCTATCTCGCCCAGTTGTGGGGGAGGGACTGCAGGAGGTTGGGGGCCGGCCAGCCAGGTGCAGGGACCGCGGGAGGTTGGCTGTGGGAGTGCACTGACCACAAGAGGGCATCTCCTGCATGAGCGTCTGCCACCTGGTGGTCAGTGTGCATCATAGTGACCAGTCAACTGGTTGTTCGGTCGACTGGTTGTAACGGTCGCTTAGGCTTTTATATATATAGAAGATACCCATTTGCTCCTTTGGGAAGGTGGCATTAGGTAAATATGGTGACTAGGTCTGAGTCTGAGCTAGGAATTGCTAACTAGATAAAAAGTTCAACTATTTTTGAATCAAAGACATTCTTAACCTTAAATATGATTATTACAGTGGAAATCTAAACAGACCCTTTCATGACTGTCTCTGATGATTTCCATTTCTTGCAGTCTCTCTAATTCATAGACAATTATTCTATCAATAGAGTGCATGTATTCTGAGCCTAATTCTTGCTCCTTCAGGTGAGGAGATAGCATTGGAGAGGTAGGCAGTTTCGTGTTAGACAGCCATTCACATTTTCAAGACATTTTGAATTTTTCCTTAGCAGTATTTATCACAGTAATGATTAAATACTTATTTTTATAATTATTTTATGAATTTCTCTCTTGATAGGCAAAACTCTGTGTGTCCAGGAACCACACTGCCATCACCTGCAGTACAGTGTATAAAGAAATGGAACTCCGCATGATCTTTCAATTTGAACCAATTTTGTGTGAAAAATTATACCTTAATAAACCTGACTCAAAACCAGAATTCATGAGGCTGTTCTCTATTATAATTAAGCGAGCAAATCATTAACTTGCTGCGTTGAGAATAGGAATGAACTTATGCTTTACGGAGGGAGCAAAGAAACTAGTGGGACTCAACTTCCTACTTATCATTTCTACTATTATTATTCTTTAGATGCTGACCCTGATAAACTGGTAAGAAGGAGCTTCAAATTCTTAATCTCTTAGAAAATGTAATGAAAACAAAGAGTATGTCTCAGGCTTATAAATTTCTTCTGTCAAGGTCTTTGTATTTTGTGTATCATGAGTAGCAAAAACCATTTATTAAGTGATACCTGCCATTTTGCACTGTAAGGCAGTGAACCCACAGTGCCTCAGGTGGGCTCAGTGATGCAGCACATGCCGTGTTTGCTACCTCATAGAGTTGCTATGAGAATCCAAAGAGGGCATGATTGCACTGTGTAAAGTGTGAAGTGCTAAATCAAGACAGTTGGTTTCATTGCCAAGTATTAACAAACCTCGATATAACAAACAAACTTGGATTTCGGGCATCAGAGAGCAACCAACAAACGGCATGGGTAAGATGTGTAGGAAAGATTTACTTGACTTGTATCTGTGTTTGGCCCTGTTGCCTTCTCCTTGCCCAACAGGAAGAATATGTGGTGTTTAGGAGTTTTGTGCTTAGCACTGGTTAATGGCAGGAATTGAATTTGATGGATTGGAGAGTGGAAAGTGACTCAGTCGAAGGACTACTATAGAAAAAGTGGAACTTAGAGGCTCTGAAGGAGTGAATCTTCAACAGGCGCTTTGTTTATTTGTTTTTGTACAAGCTCATCATAGTTTTTTATGATACGGGTTTTCGTGTTCCAAACCTAGATGATCATTGTAGCAAATGTGCTATGTCACCCATACCAAACTCTGTTTTCTGGTATCTTACCTTCTGGTATTTTTGCCACCTTGGTTTTTCATACAGAGTCAGCTTTTACTGTTTTATTATCATAACCCACTGATACCAGTGATAAAGTTTTAGCTATAGTCATAACAGATTTTTTCTTTTATTTTCTACACATACACACATAATTAGAACTTTTGCCTTTTGGCCTCTTAGATTGCTAAGTCGGATGTCTTGGAGAGGTACTCCATGTTGAGCTTAACCATTTATTTGTGTGACTTTATTTGAGAACTTATTTTCGGGGTATTGCAGAATTAGAAAATGAATTCTACTAGCAATCCAGATCACCTAACATCTGTTTCCTCACTCGCAAGATGCAGGTAATAATTTCAATTTCACTGTTGTCACCATGTTGTTGTAAGAATCATAACAGCTTAGCAAAGCTTGCAGTCAACTCTGAAGTTCTGTGCCAATATAAGGCAGTTAATGTTATGAATGGCACTCTTCTCATTATTTTTACCACTCCCAGAAGAGGGTTCACTGATAAATTATTATGTTTCTCCAGGGAGAGTCACTCCGGCGCAGCTCACGTCCTATATTCAGCTCTTCAAGAACAACCTCAAAGCTCTAGTGAGTCACTGTGGACTCCTGCAGCTTGGGCTGGCCACGGTTCAAACTCTGAAGCACCCGCAGACTGCCAAGTGGGACAACTTTCTGGCTTTTGAAAGGCTCCTTCTCCAGGTATGTTGCTGTGGGAGCTTCTTGGGACAGTAGTAATTAAAATTTTCACTTCCAGAGAAAAACACTGATATTTATTGTAGCCTTGGTAATAAATCATATTGTTGACATATGCCCTATATCATATTCTCCTTGTAACACCAAATTAAAATCTAAATAGAAACTTTTTCCAGTTGTTTTTTATTTATTTTGACAGTGACATCTTTGGCTTCTCACTCAATACTACGAATGTTTTTTGAGCATTTGACTAACCTTTGTAAACCTCTTTTCAGTTTTATGCCACTTGGATCTTTCTTGATCTTCATGGCATATTTATTCAATTCTTACTACCTTTCCTGTAGAAGAGGATGTGGTTTAAAAAGATGCTTAATAAAAGATGAAGAGAGGCAAACTCCATTTGTAGTTTTATGAAGAAATTTGTATGTGGGGTGGGACCTTGTCATGATTGATGAAATATTTTAGTGGAAAACTTTTGTAAAAAGATGTATTTTAAAAAATTATAAAGTATTTCAAACTTACATAAAATAATATGACAAATATCTATGTATTCCCTGATACTATACCCTTCCCTGGCATTCCCTGATTCTCCTTGTTCCTTTCCCAGAAGTAATCATAAGCTGTGTTATTTGTTTATTTTTATTAAATATTTTTTTCATAAATAATACAGATTATTGTTATGGGCTTTATTTTTTATGTAAGTGACACCGCACTATCAATATTCCTAAACAACCTGCTTTTTCAACATTCTGTTTTTAAGATAATCCAAATTGACATGTCTAAATCTAGTTTATTTGTTTAAACTATACCATACTATTTGATTGTAAAGATATACATCAATTTATCCAATTCATATTGATGTATAGTTAGGCTGTTCTGTGTGTGTGTGTGTATGAGAGAGAGAGAGAGAGAGAGAGAGAGAGAGAGAAGAAGGAATGTGATGAATATCCTAGAATAGGCCCTTGGATACACATGTGAAAGAGTTCTCTAGGATATATACCTTGGAAAGGATTGTTAGATTGTTGACCATGCATGTTGTTGAGTTTACTATCATCAAATCAGCGGTTCTCAACCTGTGGATCGCGAACAATGAAAATACATCCTGCATATCAGATATTTACATTACGATTCATAACAGTAGCAAAATTACAGTTATGAAGAAGCAACGAAAATAATTTTATGGTTGGGGGTCACCACAACATGAGGAACTGTATTAAAGGGTCGCGGCATTAGGAAGGTTGAGAACCACTGCATAGATCACCAAAAAAGTTGAACTAGTTGACCCTTCTGCTAGGAATGGATGACAATTTTTTCCCCACATAGTATCCAGCACTCAGGATTATCAAGCATAAATATCTTTTTAGTGGGTCAAAGCTATCTCTTTGTATAAATTTGCGATTCTCTGACTACTGTGAAGTTTTATAATATTTATTGGCTATTCAATTTTTTTCTTCTATCAGTTGCTTATACTTTGCCCATTTTTTCTCTATTGGGTAACAGCAAAAACTGTTATACATCATGCAGATACTTCTCCCAGACTATGTTTTGTCTTTTAACTTTAACTCCTGTATATTTTATTGTATGAAAGTTTTAAATTTTGATTTAGTCTAGTTCATTAATATTATCCTTTATGGTTGGTGCTTATTAATATTTCATATTAGAAATCATTTTTTACCCCTAATTTCTAAATATATTTTCTACTAAAAATTAATCTTAATTTGACATTTGAATTTTTAATCCACCTGGAACTTAATTTTGTTTATGATATTATTAGGATCTAATTTTCTTTTCTTCCATATGGATAGCCTGTTTTCCCTGCACCATTTATGAAATATTCCATTGTACTGTAGATTACTTATTCAACAGTCATTTTTCTCATTCTTATGGTGGCAAAACACCAGTTTTGTTCCATGTCTATTCTGTTCCCACATGATTTAGGCAAATCCTGTTGGTCTCAGATTATACTGGTATTCTCATTTCCCACTTAGTGATTGGTTTAGCAGGTCTAGCCAAAGAGAGGTAGAAGGAAATTTGCCAAAGGTAATTCTAGGGAAGATTTTCTTTTGCCCTTATAGAAGGATACATAATGAAGAAACGAACTCTTTTATAGTTCTCTTGATGTACATTTGTGACACTGAGCATTTTGTGATAATGAAGAGCTTACTGATATCCTGAGGAAGACAGAACAGAACCTGAATCCTTAATGATACTTGAGCCTTACCTCAAAAGACTTGATTTTATGAGATGATATTTCTTCTCATTGTTTATGCCATTTTGGTTCTCTGTTATTTGCAGCCAAAAATATTCATCCTTTTCCCACTGATATGTAATATATTAACATTTCATATAAAGGTGGGTTTATTTCTCAGTTTCTAGTATTTCAGTGTTCAGTTTATTCATCAAAGAATTAATACTACAGCATTTTAAAATTAATATGTCCATTTTATGTTTTTCTCTATAAAAGAAACTTATTAGATTCATTCATGGGTATTTTAAAGATTTTGATACCATTGTGAATTGAATTTTTAAGCATTTATTGATGAGAGAGAGAGAAATTGATTTATTGTTCCACTTATCTATGCATTCATTGGTTGATTCTTGTATGTGCCCTGACAGGTGATCAAATCTACAACCTTGGCATATCATGATGATGCTCTAACCAACTGAGCTACCTAGCCAAGTTGTGAATTGAATTTTAAAAATGTTCTAATACTTTATTACTGGTGTGTAGAAATGCTCTTTTTCTTTTTCTTTTTTTTACTTAAATTTTTTAAAATAGCAGTAACAATCCAAAGCTGCTTTTAAAAAATATATATATTTTTATTGATTTCAGAGAGGAAGGGAGAGGGGGAGAGAGATAGAAATATTAATGATGAGAGAGAATCACTGATCAGCTGACTCTTGCAAGCCCCCTACTGGGGATCGAGCCTGCAACCCGGTCATATGCCCTTGACTGGAATCGAACCCAGGACCATTCAGTCCACAGGCCGACCCTCTATTCACTGAGCCAAACCAGCTAGGGCAATAATTTTTTATTTTTTAATTGAAGTTGACATACAATATTATATTAGTTTCAGCTGTACAACCTAGTGATTAAACATTATATAACCTACATTATATAAATCTAGTATCCATTTGACACCATACATAGTTATTGCAGTATTATTGACTACATTCTTTGTGTTGTACTTTACATCCCCGTGACTACCAATTTGTACTTCCTTTATTCACCTTTTTTCACCCATCCTCCCAACCCCATTCCCATCTAGCAACCATCAAGATGTTCTCTGTCCCGATGATTCTGTTTTGCTTGTCTGTTTATTTTGTTTTTTAGATTCCACATATAAATTAAGTCATACAGTATTTGTCTTCCTCTGTCTGACTCATTTCACTCAGCACAATACCCTCTATGTTGGTACATGTTGTTGCAGATGGCAAGATTTCATTATTTTTTATGGCTGTCATAATTGTATGTATGTACCACTTCTTCTTTATCCAATAATCTATTGATGAAAACTTAGGTTGCTTCCATATCTTGGTAATTGTAAGTAATGCTGCAATGAACATATGAATAAATATGTTCTTTTTATTTAGTGTTTTGGGCTTCTTTTGGATAAATGGAGTTGCTGGGTCCTTCTTTGTCTCTTGTTATATACCCTTTGCTTTAAAGTCTATTTTGTCTGGTATAAGTATTGTTACCCCAGCTTTTTATTTGTTTGTTTCCATTTTCATGAAATATATTTTCGCATGCCTTTGCTTTCAGTCTGTGTGTACCTTTCAATCTGAAGTGAGTCTCTTGAAGACAGTATGTGTAAGGGTATTATTTTGTTACCAGAGGCCCAGTGCACGGATTCGTGCACTGGTGGGGTCCCTCAGCCTGGCCTGCGCCCTCTCGCAATCTGGGACCCCTCAGGGAAGTCAGATAGCTGGTTTCGGCCCAATCCCCACAGACCCGATCCATACAGGAGGGAGCCCAATCCCTGCAGGCCTGATCCAGACAGGAGGGAGTCCGATCCTGTGCGTTGAGCTTCTGTCCCCTGGTGGTCAGTGCACATCATAGTGACCGGCTGACTGGTCATTTGGTCACTTAGGCTTTTATATATATATAGATACCAGTACATCCAGCCTCTATATGTCTTTTGATTGGAGCATTTAATCCATTTGCATTTAAAATAATTATTGATAAATATGTATTTATTGCAAATTTATTATTCATATTTTTTATCTTCTCTTCCCCCTCCTCATCCTCTCCTTACCCCCTCTCCCCCCCCCCCCCAGCCTCCTCTTCCTCCTTCTTCTTAAAAAAGACCTGATCACATCCTGTGCTAGAATACTGCCATTGCCACTCCCCTGCTTGGATCTTCTCACTTCCCTGCTCAGGTTCTGACACTGTCATGGGATATTGCTGTCACCCAACCTCCACATGCATGCCTTTCTCACCTCCTTTGGTTCTGATAACCCATGTAGTGCTGCTGCTCATAACCCCTCACCTCTCCCCAAGGGGCCTTGTTAGACATTTGGGCACCCACCCCCGACCTTGCTCACGTTCTGATATCCTGCCCTGGGCTCTCACTGTTTCCAGCTTCCACATGGATATCTTCTCTATCCTCTTGTGTTCCAATTGCCTATGCCAAGCTCTACCAACCACTATGCGAAGATGCCCTTTTCACTCACATTTGACTCTGACACTTGCTCTGGGCTGCCATTGCCCCTGCCATGGACACCCTTTTCACTCCCTTGGGCTCTGATAACCTGCTCTGAGCCACTGCTACAACCTCCTTCCCTGCCCCCTGCACTATCACATGGACAACCTCCTCACCCTGCAGCTGCCTACCACTGATGTCCTGTGAGGTAAATCTCTGGCTCCAAAATCTGACAAAGGTGTTTCAGAACAAGGCACAGTGGTGTTCTCCCAAGAATATTAATTTTTCGACTCAGTAGAGATTTCTGAAGAAACTTGACACAGTGTTAATTCTAAGCCATCTTATATTTATAATTAACTTTTG